AGCTCAAACGATCCACCCACCTCGGCCTCCCAGAGTGCTAGGATTACATGCGTGAGCCACCACGACCAGCCAGGTTAGTATTCTTTGAAGGTCTGGAAACAGTGATGACCAGGGCCTTCCAAAGAGGGGCTACTGGTAGAGCCCCAACCCTTCACATATAGGCTTTACAGAAAGTAAGAAAAATGATGAGGTCTGGGAGGGTGCCACAGAAGATATACGGCATGTGGGAGAAACAGTCTGAGAAAAATGATTAATGAGAATAAAGTAATAACTTGGTTGGAATAGGGTTGAGGCAAACTTTACATATAACAATGGCTTACAACTGGTAGAACCGAAGTAGATTCCACGTAGTCATATAAGCATGAAAGTGAACAGGGTTAACTATAGGCTAACTGATCAAATAGGCCATTTTTTCCTTCTGTCTCCTCTCAACAGTATTTTCTTTTTTTAAAAAGAGGGTCTCACTATGTCACCAAGGCTGAAGTGCAGTGATATAATCATAGCTCACTGCAGCCCCCAACTACTGGGCTTAAACAATCCTCCCACCTTGGGTAGCTGGGGCTACAGGTATGCTCCATCACACTGGCTAATTTTTTCTGTTTTTTTTGTAGAGATGGTGTCTCACTCTGATGCCCAGGTGGGTTTAGAACTCCTGGCCCCAACCTCCCAAAGTTCTGGGATTACAGGCATGAGCCACTGTGCCCCGCTCCACAGTATTATTAAGATATAGTATAATATCAATGATCATTATGTTTAGTGTCAATCAATTTGACCAATCCTTACCTGTTAAAGCCTTGTGACTAAAATGTACAACGGTAATTTTCCCATCTCAAGAAGGAATTTCAGGTATAAAGGAGCAAATTATGAGATATTTTTGAGGGGTAAGAAAGAGTCTTCCTATTGCCCTAGAGCTCACACTCACTCACTGTGTATACACACTGACTTCAGCCATTTTAGGGAATGTGGACATGGGGTGGTTTGTAGAATAAATCCAAAAGAAATGTCTGTGGTTTTATTTTAAGAAAATGTGATCTCTGCTTTCTTGGAAGAATTGAACCTACTGCTGCTGATAAAAAGAGAACATGTTCTAATTTCTGGGGTTTCCTGTTTATTCCAGCAATAGTTCTGGGCCCTTCTTTCCCTCTAAGCCTAAACCCCCAGATGGAAAGAATCCAGAGCATTCAGACAGTGGAGCTCCTGCTTGCACCCACACACCACTTCCACAGGTGGGGCAAGTCACAGCTTGTCAGTAGGTACAATGAAAAAATGGACATACTCCTGAAGACTCCCTCATAGGGCAGTAAGAGGGAGAAGCCAGAAGCAAGCCACTTCTTGTGTTTAGGAGCTAGATCTAGAACCTCTAATTACCACTCCATGTCAGAGTTTGACAAACAATTATCAAGGAAAACTCTTAATAATAAAGCTGTTTATAGACACAGACGAACAAAATGAGAATAAGAGAAACTTGGATTGGCTAGATAAGTTATACTAATTATAGTAATTTACATGAAATACTTACCCCCTAATTACCATGTAGCACAAAAATGATTATGTGTGCTATGAACTTTTTTTTTTTTTTTTGAGACAGAGTCTCGCTCTGTTGTCCTGGGTAGAGTACAGGGGAGTCATCGTAGCTCACTGAAACCTCCATCTTCTGGACTTAAGTGATCCTCCTGCCTCAGCTTCCCTAGTAGCTGGGACTACAGATGCATGCTATGACACCCAGGTAATTTTTCTATTTTTAATAGAGATGGGGTCTCATTCTTACTGAGGCTGGTCTCAAACTCCTGAGCTCACATAATCCTTCTGCCTCAGCCTCCCAGAGTGCTGGGATTACAAATGTGAGCCACCACGCCCGGCCTGCTATGAAATTTATCAGATCCAGCTATAAATGGCACTGAAGGGTTCACATATGCCAAGTCATGTAGCACAAGCATTTGTACCACCTTCACAAATCAGAGGGAAACCTAGGTGTTTTGAGAATGAAGATACAAGCTCCTAGTTATTAGAAATAAAAATTACTGATGATGGGGGAGTGAAACTATAATGACCTGGGAAAAAAATCCTTCTTTGTAAACTCTTCTAAACCAGGGGTCCCCAACCTGTGGTAAGTTGTATAATTATTTCATTATGTATTACAATGTAATATTAATAGAAATAAAGTACACAATAACTGTAATGTGCTTGAATCATCCTTAAACCATACTTCCCCCCTCCCTGGTCCATGGAAAAATTGTCTTCCATAAAAACGGTCCCTGGTACCAAAAAAGTTGGGGACTGCTGTTCTAAACTTTGTATGGAATAGCAAAGGGCCAGGCCTAATGATCCATAAAAGTGGTTTCTCTGCAGTGAAGGAATCAAAAAGTTGAAAGACAGATGGTAGTGTATAACAGACACATTTTTGTGCCCAAAGTTGCGCATATTAACAGCTATGAAGTCACAGAAAAGCAAAGCATTCCATAAACTTTTTAAGGTAGTCTACCATTGTAGTTCCTTCAAAGGCAACATTTAGTAAAGCACAGCACAGTGGTATAAAGAGAGGAAATAAAAGGAAGGAAGAGAGAACAATGCTATGTAAGGCAAGAGTATCCAAAAATGCTTAGCTGGCAATAAAATAGAGTGGCTTCTGTTCGGCAGAACTGTAAGAAACTGTTCAGGAAGGACAGATAAGAAATGAGGCTTGAAAACTATGCAGGGTCACGATCATGAAAAAATCCTGAATTCTCTACCGAAGAGTTTGAAATTTTAGCCTGAGAGAGATAGGGAGAGGTTACTGAATAAAGTAACATGCTCATATTTGAACTTTTACAGATTTCTGTACATAATGTAGGATTCCATTGATATGAAGTAAAAAATAGGAGAAACTAATCCATGGTGTTAGGAGACAGACTGGTAATTACTCATGGGGGTCGGGCATAGTAACAGGAAGAGAATGTGAGGAAGCTTCTGGGGGGCTAGTAACATGTTTCCTGAAGTAGGTGTTTGTCACAAAGGTAGGCTCAGTTTGTGAAAAACTCCCTGTGTTGTAGACTTATATGCCCATAATTATATGAATGTGAATTATACTTCGAGAAAATTAGAAAACAAACAAAAAAATTACTTAGGCTGTACGAAACAAAATGGGACGGAGAAGACAGGCAGAAGTTTAAGGGAGGCCGACCTTTGGGAGTGGCTACGCATTAGCAGGTGACCTAAAGCACCATGGAGGATTTGCTGCCTCAACAGCTATGGAAAACAAAAGAACCAGAAGAGTCAAAGATGACCTAAGGTTGTAGGTTTGAAGACTGAGAAAGTGGGCAAGGAGGGAAGCCCTTACGGCCTCTAGCTCGTCATTTATAAAGTGAGAGGATATGCCCAAGACAATCCTTAAGGTCTCTAAGACTTCTGATGGCAGTGTTAACAATAAGAACTTGGACAACCCAGAGACAAAGGGGTGCCCAAACAGTCCAATGTCACAGAAGACAGACTCAAAAAGATGTGGCCAATGAAGGACCAAAACCTGACATATGTAAAATAATAGTCAGATTACATTAGCAGTCACTTAAGTAAGAGTGTGCATCAAAATTGCCTAGAGGTAGGGGTTAGTAGAGAAGAGAGAATACCTAAAACTAGCTAAAGAATCATAAAGATCAGGAGGTATCTTTGGAAGAGGCTGGCAAGTATGAATATGCATGACTTCAAGCTATTGCAATAATAACGATCAGGTAGGGTATCTGTCTGCTGTGGCCTGTAAACATCCCTCCCACCCAATGGCTGGATCTATGTCATATGGGTGGACATTTAAAACAGTGGTCTTATGGTTTGAATTGGTTCATTTATGGGTCTGTTATAAATCATGTTCCACAGATTCAACACTTTGAGAAGTAAATCACAGTAGCTGAATGGTCTGGGGAAATAAAAAACCATGAAAGAGCATCTTTACCAATGGATCAAGAACAGCTCAAGGGCCGGGTACAGTGGCTCACGCCTGTAATCCTAGCACTCTGGGAGGCCGATGCGAGCGGATCGTTTGCGCTCAGGAGTTCGAAACCAGCCTGAGCAAGAGCGAGACCCCCATCTCTACTAAAAATAGAAAGAAATTGGCCAAACAACTAAAAATAGAAAAAATTAGCCAGGCATGGTGGCACGTGCCTGTAGTCCCAGTTACTTGGGAGGCTGAGGCAGTAGGATTCCTTAGCCCAGGAGTATGAAGTTGCTGTGAGCCATGGGACTCTAGCCCGGGCAAGAGAGTGAGACTCTGTCTCAAAAAAAAAAGAAAAAAAAAAAAAGAACAGCTCAAGGTAAAACGATTAGGAATACTCTAGCAATCACTGTTTCTTGAAATGTGATGACCTAGAATGGAAGAAAACTACTTCTGAGATAGAATGAAAAACAGGTGAAAAAAAATTTTAAAACTTTATATATTCATGTTTGGAATTCTTTAAAATGTTAAATTAACACAAAGTGAGGAAAATAACACTCTCTTGTCTTAAATATGCTGTGCAGCCGATACTATGTTATAAATAGAAAAAACCACCCCCAGAAAAGCTGGCAAATTCAAGAAAAAAAAGCTATTTTAGGTTTCTTCTCTCCTTTCAGTCTGTAAGATCAGGGTGAAGTACTTAGACAAGGAAACAGATTTCTGCCTTAAAAAATGATAAATATTTCAATCTGGTAGAAATTATTGGAATAGTCCAAGACAAGTTCTCCAGGCAAATTAAAAACAAAAAAACAATCAGTCCCTTAAAAAGACTCTGAAATCTGCCTTTAATCTCTGCAGTCTTCACAAGGCTAAATGACACAATGAACAGAATGAAAAAAGTCACCCTCTAGGACTGGATCTACTATTTCTATCATCCTCCTCTTGCTTGTGGATTTTTTAACCTAGAAATGCCGTTCAAGCAAATAGTCATCTCCTACTGGGAGCGAGGCTCTTTATACTAAATGTTCTTAATTAACTAAAAACAATATGACCATTCATGGCTTAAGAGAGCACTTGAAAAGGGCTGTCAGGAGCAAACCTTGGCTTTGGTAGCAGCTGAGGCAAGAGCAGCTGCTGCGGCTGTGGCAACATTTCCTTCGGAAATTTCATGTTCTACTTTCTTCTTCCCGATATCACTTTCTCTTTCTCTTTCTTTACATGCATCAGTGAATTCTTTGCTCTCTTCAGTCTCCTTTTCTTCTGAAAAGTATGAGAATGCTTCATCACCAGTGTGCTCAGTCTAAACAATTGTTACTTCTCACCTATGCCACGTGACAAACTAGGACAATGCCTCTTTTTTTCCCCTTTTTAAAGAATTTTGTTGAATCATTCCATGCATTTAAGTCTGCCTGTATTTGGGCTGTATTTTCTAAATAGTACACTTTATCTTCCCTTCATTTATCTAAGCTCTCTCTGTAGGTCCCCTGGATATAAAAAAGAAAAAATTAAGGTAACTAAGCATAAGACCCATATATTTGTTCATCAGTCAATGAAATGTTCTGGGAACCCTAGGGTATGCAGGAAATCAGACACTGAGGACAGAGTACTTCCATGAGCCTGACAGGCATGATGGGGTACATCAGCAACTGTCACTGAAAAAAAAATGCCATGTTTGTGAGATGACTTCAAACATGTTGAATAACTGGTTCATCTATATAGTAAAGAAAACAGCAGGGCAAAATACAGCCACCTGCATTAGCACTGGTACCTACCCGCTACATGAAACTCGAATGCATACTTAACGATGCATTATAAATCCAAATAATAAATCCAAAATAAATGAGGAAATATTTCTACATAAAATACCACATTTCTCCAGTGCCTTTTTACAGTTTTACATAATAATACCTAAGGAGTTTCCTCAAATTACCTGATTTGGTATCCTCACTAACTTCACTATCCTGCTGTTCCTTCTCATTGTTTTTTTCATTTTCTCTATCTTGTGCTTTATCACCTTCTTCTGTTTCATTTTCCACTTTGTTTTCTGCCTGAAAGGGGTACAAAACAAGAGGATAGGGAGTCAGCAAAATCAGCCCTTTACGAGTAACACTATCTTAGAATAAAAAAGATCCTGCTATTTTTGGTAAAAAGTGGACTAGATTCAGAAGAGACCCGTAGAGAAGAGCTGGAAAAGAAATTAACAAATTCATAGAAATACTTTTTACCATCTCAACACCTGAGTGTTCACAAGATAATATGCTTCCCAAAGCACATAGTCCCCCTCCTCTCTGCATCGTCTGCTATAAAGCCATGGTTTCAATTCCCAAAGGAGTGTCAGGGGAATTAATTGATATTATTTATTGATTAAAAACATGAGGGAGAGCCACAACAGAGCATCAGTGATCATGCTTTGGGGACTGAAAACTTCAATTCTTCAGGTCAGCATGTGGTATATCATTTGTTGATTTTTAAGTATCTGTGACCTTAAACAAATTATGTAACATTGCGTATAAAATGGACAGACTATCACTGACCTTACAAATTAAATCAAATCATAAATGTAAAGTGCAAAGCACGCTCTTTGGAACACTATAGGAATTGTAATCGAGTTTATTATTAACCTCTCCCTCTCCTTATTTATATAGAATTTTAGAATACTACATGTAACTGAGACCTTAAATCCTGCTTGTATAGTCACTCAAATACTGACTGACTGCTAAGTATGTGCTATAACAGTGTACAGAATACAAAGACCCAGACTCTGACTATGAAGAGGCTGTAAAGTACTATTCTGCCTAGCTCACCTTGCATTTACAGTCTCTTATGAAACAGGGATTGGGCCACTAACAAACTGGGCATTTTTGTGCTGTTCACACACTGTCCTTAGTGTCTATCCTCCCCCACCAGTTGGAATCTTTGATTCCCTATCTTCCTTTTTTTTTGTCACAGGGGTCTCCCTCTGTTGCCCAGGCTGGAGTGCAGTAGCATGATCACAGCTCACTGTAGCTTTGAAAGCCTGGGCTCAAGCAATCCTCCTGCCTCAGCCTGAGCCTCCAGAGTAGCTACGGCTACAGGCACAAGCCACCACACCCAGCTTCACAAATTCTTTTCTACCTGTTCTTCTGCTGGCAGTTAATCCTCCTAGAAAATCACTTAACATTCTGTCATTCTATTCTGGGTACAAGTATAGGACCTAAACCCTAAAATTCATCATTCAGAAGAACTACAACTTGTATTTCATATTCACAACTGTGCCTGAAAGGGGCACAAAAGAAAAGGATAGGGAATGGATGTATCTTCACCCAATGAATAAATGAAAAATATCTTACATTATGCCTTGAGAGAACTATACCTTAAACCAGCAAAGTCCAACTGGCTAACGGAACTATTTATAGTCCCCTAAGGGACTCGAAAGATAACAAAAAACCCAAATCATTAGCCTCTGAAAGGCATGCTCTCTGTGGCTTTTCTGTTGTGAGACAATTCAAACCAACTTTACCTTTTCAGATTGTTGACCATCAGGGTCTGCTTCCATTTTTTCCTCTTCGGCACCTTCTACAAGTAAAAGAATATGCTTACATGAATGTTTAATTTGTGGAAAAGCACTAGGCTTAGGATTTTCACTTTTCTGTATGTATAAAAAGTTCAAAACATTTTAAGTAAAAAAGGCAAAAAACTAAAAATAATTCATTATAATTTGATAGACACTTAACTAGTATATATTTTGAATCAGGTACTGGATAAACACTGCTGAGCCAGATATTCACTAAAATCTCAAGAGCATCATATTCTGGCTGAAGAGGACACATACCATGTTCACCATAATACAAGAGGCACATATGAACAAATTACATGAGAAAAACTATTATTTCACATGTGAGAAAATTATTAATTTTCTATGCTTTTAGTAACCTAATAAAATAGCATCAAACTACACACGAAAAAAACCTCTGAGAACAGCAGGGAAAAAATAAAAACATACACCTTAGGAGAGGATTTGCACACACCTCTCAGTTAAGATGTACGGCAGATGTGAATTCAGCAAGATGGTTCTAATGTACATGTGCAAAATTGTACACTCACCAATTAAAGAATAATACAAGTTAATTTCAAGCTCACACAAAACATTTTAAAAATAGTGATCACAAATCAGGTCATAAAGTGAGTCTTCACAAATTTCAATTAATCACTACCATACAGATCAATTTCTCTAAACACAATCCAATGAAATTTGACCTTTAAAATATAAATTTTTCTGTGCTTGGAAATACACAGAATTTAAAGAATCAGTAAAAGTAGTACTTACAGAGAAACACACAAGAAAAGAAAAGAAAAGAGAAAAAAACACAGCTGCGGTGGCACTTTGGAATGCTGAGGCAGGAGGATTGCTGAAACCAGGAGTTTGACACCAGCCTGGACAATATAGCAAGACCCCCGTCTCTACTTAAAACAGAAAAAATTGACTGGGAGTGGTGGTGTAGTTCCAGCTACCCAGTAGGCTGAGGTGGGAGGATCATTTGAACCCAGGAGTTCAGGAGGTTACAGTGAGCGCTGACTGTGCCACTGTACTCCAGAGTGGAAGACAGACGCTGTCATGAAAAACCAACACGTACCACCAAAACAGACATTTAGAAAAACTGAAATAACTAAAAAACTTAAAACAAACAAAAACAGAGGTCCAGATGTTTTTTAATCAGGAATGCCACCAAACTCTTAGGGAAAAGATGATTATAATCTCTTCCAGAGAATAAAAAATGTGGGAACATCCCCTAACTCACTCTATGAGGCCAGTATAACCTTGATTCACAAATCAAATGACAACAGATGTTCCTGATCCCCAAAAAGACTGTTAACAAAAGTCCTACAACAGGCCAGGCAAAGTGGCTCACACCTGTAATCCTAGCACTTTGGGAGGCTGAGGAGGGAGGATCACTTGAGGCCAGGAGTTCCAGACCAGCCTGACCACAAGCAAGACCCTGTCTTTACAAAATATAGAAAAATTAGCTGGGTGTGGTGGGGTGCACCTAAAGCCCCAGCTATTTGGAAGGCTAAGGCAGCAGGATCGATCGCTTAAGCCCAGGAGTTGAGGTTGTAATGAGCTATGATGACACCACTGCACTCTAGCCCCAGACGACAGAGCAAGACCCCATCTCCCCCCACCTCTCCCCAAAAAATCCTGTAACAAATGTCATTCTTCATAGAGAGATGCCAATAGTATTTCCTTTAAAATTAAGAGCAAGACAAGGATACCATTATTACTACTTCCCTTCAATATAGTCACAGAAGTCAAACCCAACATAGTCAATTAAGAAAAAGAAATTAAAAGAAGACTAGAAAGAAGAAAACGGTTAAAATTTACAGAGAACAAAACTATAATAAGCTGTAGAAAAGTTATTAAAAATAATTACAGGGTTTAGCAAGGTGGTGACCTATAAAACTAACACATAAAACCAACTGCATTTTGATATGAAAACAAAAGTAAATTCTGGATAAAAATGTGAAAAGACAAAATTTGAATAATATCTTAAACAAGACAAGCAATAACAAGAATAGACAAACTTAACACAATTATTAAAATCAAGGACTTCTCTTCATTAAAACTCTTCAAAGAACAAATAACAAAATGGAAGAAAACAGATGTAGCGCAGTGACTCATAAAAGATTAGTATGTAAGATTTATAAAGAAAAAAGACAAATACTATAGAAAACTGAGCAAGAGACTATTCTGTTGCCTTATAGAAGTATATACAGAAGTATATATGACCAATAAACCTAAGGAAAGATATTTGACTTAAATTTGTTATGAGAGATATGTAATTTAAGACCATAATGAAATGTCATTTTACACCTGCTAGATCAGCAGAAAGTCTAACACCAGGAAGTGTTGGGTCAAGTGTTACTGGTGTGTAAAATGGCACATACGCTTTGGGGAAAAAAACTGTCATTTCCTAAAACATTGCTACCCTGCTACCCACAGGATCAGTCCACAACAAAATAGGGAGTTGAATATGAATGTTCAATACTCCTTTATTGAGAAATTCATCTGATAAAGAAATAACTGAATTAAACAACAGCGAGCTTAGTGATGCAAACTCTTTACCTTGGTATGTCAGCCAGTCTACCAACCACACTTTGAATAGCACTACATCTAAGAGAAACCCTGTATATGTGCACAGTGAGGCACAGAGAACACTATCCACACATGCCTGACAGCAAACACAGGAAGAAACCAAAATCTTCCATTCAATAAAAAAATGGATAACTATAATGAATTATATTTACACAACAAAACATTTCACAGCAGTGAAAATAAATGGATATGTGAATAAAGCAACTACATGGATACATCTTGAAACCTTAATACTGAGTAAAAAAAAGAGAGAGAAAAAAAGTCAGTCTCAGAAGTTAAAATAAACCATGTTTTATAGAGCTTAAAAACAAGGAAAATTACACCCACCATATATGATGTCTGTAATACAACTGAATCAAAAAGTACTTAGAATGACATTCAAAATTTAGGATTCTTAGTGCTGGAAGTGGGAAGGTGAGAGGAAGAAATACAAGAGGAACATAATGATTCAAATTATTGGTAATGCTGCAATTCTTAGATAGATCAGATGAAATATATAACCTGCATTAAGACACATTAAAATATAATAATGACGAGACTTGAACAAAAAAACTAAACAAAAACCCCAAAACTTCACAGGTTACTCTTAATTGAATGTGCATTAGGTCACCTTGGCTGAGTCAGCTTAATTACAGACTAAGTATTATGTGGGAGAAATGCAACAGGATTTTTATTTTGTGAAGATATCTGCTTTTGAAATGACTACCTACAATCTGTAGGTCCACATTCCATACTCACTTTTTCTATGGTAAGGCAAGCCAAATTTGATATAAACTCTTTAATTAGCTATGATCCCGAGACGAATATTTACATAATATTATTAATATCAATTTATATGATGATGGTGCAGTTAAAGACAGAACCTGTGAAGGTGGAAACACCCAGAGACAGGGCTCAGATTTTTTTTAAAAAAACAGATGTAGTCTCAATACATTGCCCAGGCTGGACTCGCTAGACTCAAGTGGTTCTCCCACCTCAGCCTCCCAAGTAAGGGACTACAGGTGTGCACAAGTGCACCTAATTTAGTGTTCAAACTTTTAAGGAGATGTCTATTAAGAGTTTAATTATGTGTTGTATTTTTCTCAAGATGCTATGCAGAAGAGTATATAAAGTGGTTTTTATTCTGTAAGATTTGTTGAAGCTACTATAAGATATTATGTTATCACATATATATTGATTTTTGTCTATGGTTTTTGGCTCATAATTTTGATAATCCTTGTCTGACTTTGACTTTTTAAAATATTTCTAAGACAGGACTCTAATCTGATTATGAGTCAAAAGACTCTCATTCCATGGAGGGTCCTGCCCCATATTTTAAAGGAAAGAATGTTATATTGAGAAGTCAACAAAAGTCTGTACAGACATGCCTTATTGAATTAGATTATGAGTTTTTTGTTTAATTATCTTTTTATTATGATTGTCAATCATGTCTATATAATAAAGTCTCCATAAAAACCCAAAAGGACATGGTTTGAAGAGTTTTGGGATTGTTGAACACATGGAGGTTTCTGGGGGGTGACACACCCCAGAGAGCATGGAAGTTCTGCACCCCTTTTCCCATATTTCACCCTATACATCTCTTCATCTGTATCCTTTGTAATATCTTTTATAATAATCCAGTAAGCATAAATGCTTCCCTGTGTTCTATGAACTGCTTCAACAAGTTCATCAAATCTGAAGGGCGGGGGAGTCATAAGAACCCCAACAATAGCTGGTTGGTCCAGAGTTTTGAAGGCTTGGACTTAGGAACTCAGGACTAGCGGGGCGGGGGGCAGTCTTGGGGACTGAGCCCACACCGTGTGAAATCAGACGCTATCTGTAGTTAGTGTCAAAACTAAACTAGAGGACACCCATTTGGCATCTGCTGTTTAGTGTGTGGTAAAAAAAAAAACCCACATTTGGTCGCAGAAGTCTTTTTCTGTGTTAATCGTTACTGAGGTATGAGAGCAGAGGAAAAACGTGGCTTGAAGGGTGTTTTTCTAAACAGGCATCTTCTTGAAAAAAAGAAGAAAAAACAGTCTCTCCTTGGTCTGAATTCTGATCAGAATCATAAACCTTAAGAGGTTGCAGCCTCTCCACTTCATCCCATATTCATCTTGTTGGTGTTGATAAACCAGCAGGTTGAGAATCCTTCCCCACAAATGTGTACTTTGACTTATGTCCGCAAAGTTAAAGAGAGGATAATTAGAAGGAATAAAGAAAAACCCCAACTTAAAGAAGAAGGCATATAACATAAAGTAGTGGACCATGCACTAAACACATTCTATGAATAATAACGTGATTAGCAAAACCAGTATGGGGAAAGGTCTAGAAACCATTTCATAAAGGGTTGAAGGAACAGGGAAAGTTAGACTGGAGAAGAGAAATAAATGCTTGCAAAATAGTTGTTTTTAATAAAAGTATGTTATAAATAGGTAATGAAGTT